ACCGATTACTGGGCAGGTACTGCCAGGTTCACAGGAGGAGGCACAGGTGGTTACTTGCTCAGGGTCACACATTTGTAAGTGGTCATTTGGTCTCAAGCCCATCACCTTTGCCACTTTGCTCTATTATAACTACAAGAGGGATAATGCTGATCTAAACTTCATCAGGACCCACAAGGAGGGTCTCACACGGGCGAGGTGATGGCAGTTGTGGAGCAATGTCACAGAACACGGCTGGGTTTCAGGACACCCCAAGGCTGACCCAGACATAATCCTATAACCAATGCTCTGGGAAGGCAGTTTCCATAGAAACCAGTGCATGAGTTCATGGTCGAAGAGCCCCAAAAGTGACTGTGATTATTGATGAAAAATTCTTTAAAAAGAAACGGAAAACTATACATTTGCAAATTATTCAATTTAAAATAGAAAGTTGAATGGAATGATTCAGTTCAACCTGTGTTTGCTGTTGCTTATAGCATGAGTAGAAATCAGTGAAGGTGCAAAGGGAATTCTCTGATGAACCAGATTAAGGACAGGTTGAAAAGGGACATGTAATCCAGGATAAAAGTTTGGTTAGAAACAGTGGGTCTAATGCAGCAAAGAGGCTGAATCTGAAAAACAACAACAAAAAGTACTCTTAAAGACAGCAAAATAGTGCCTTTAAAGCTGCTTCTTTTGGATTGAGGACAAAGAAAAGGATAGGCTCATTGCTGAGCCAGATGGTATTGTGTTACATGATGAAGAAAGACAAGATTTTCAACTCACAGTTTTCCTGTTTTCTTTACTAAGGAAAATGGTCCTCAACCTAGAAATGTTATACAAATATCGAGAAAAGGAAATTAGACCTGAATGAGAAATCTAGGGAGCAATAAGTTCAGATTTCTGAGCCCAAGTGAAAGATGATACAGAAAGTAGTAGTTTGCATGTGGCGTTACTCAATCAGAACTTGTTGAATCACCCAAATTAATCCCCTCGTGTTGAAATAGCTGGCAGATATACCCTGTCTTTGAAAACTCATGAAGAATGTGGAACTAAAAAACTGGAAATGAATGTATTTTCTACCCTCACATGGAAAAAAATGAATTCTGATCCCTATCAAAATTCTTAAGAGGAATTATGAAAGAAGTTATGAATATTTAGAAATTCAAAGGTGATTTAAGAACTACTAGTATTAACTGAGAGACTGTGAAAAATAAATGAATGGAATTACAAGGTTTATGCTACCTCAAGGATATGGCTAATATGATAAAGCCTGATTTGGGAAAATTATCTTGTTATCAAAGTTTCTTGTAATAGTCTCATAGAGAAGTATAGAAGTGTGGGCTGGATAATTGGGTGCATTTAGAGTCCATAAAATAGCCTCACCCAAAGGCTGAGAAAAGTTTCCCAGTGGGTCAGATGGCTGTGTTCTCGGTCCAATCCCATCTGACATATTATTTTTCATTATTTTGTAAAGTTGAATTGCCATTTATCAATTCCACATGTATCACAACTCTAGGGGAAATGTGTTAGATGAATAAAATTTTTAAACATTTCCCCTTTTTAATGGAAAATAAAGTCTCAACAATAGACAAATGTTAGCTAATCAAAGTGAAAATTGACACCTGGGAAGCCATCTGACAGATTTTACTCTATGAAAGCTGATTCAATAAACACAAGTCTGAATTTAGTTTATATAGGTGGGAACAGTGAGTTATTGACATTAAGAATGCAATTATTCTTGACAAGAGGGACTTTTAGTTTAAATTATGCTGACCTAAAGATACGCTAATGCCAGAGGAAGAAAATGCAAAGGCCAGGTACCCAAAGTCTTTATATGGCTCCTTGGTAGTCGGTGAGTTTGAAAAGCCTGGCTCTACCTTCAGGCATCAAATTCCTGCTTAAAGGATGGAACCTGATGGAAGATGATTTTGTCCCCTGGACCAGGGAAGATTCACCAGAAAATTTTATCATACATTTATATCTTGATGGAACAAAATACTTAACAAGATACAAATAAAACTTTCATTTAGCTTAAGAGAAAGATTAGTTGCACAAATAGCTCATGAAGTCATCAAACCTGAAGAGAGTAGTAGTGTGAAAGACCAGATTCGTTGGCAAGTTAGTGAGAGCCCATTAAAGATATGAACCCTGCAATTCCAGGCCATAGGGTGAAGGTGCAATGGTGTCCCCACTCTGGGTTGTTAGCATTTTGTTTGATTCTAGACTTCCTTACATTTGAGGGCAAGTCCTCTTAGGACAAAATAATAAATGACCTGGAGTTGTTGACTCTATGGAAGACCTGTCTTCAATATATAAAGGTCTTAGGGGTAAAAAGACAGGGGCAAAACTTGATTGAGTGGCTAGCAATTGAAAGCCAGTGAATGGAAAGAAGTTTTCCATGAAGTGGTATCATTCAGTGGGTTCCTTGGATGGCCTGGGAGTTCCACCTACTTGGGGAGAGTTAGGGTACAAGCTGGAGGGAGGGAGCTCGAGGGAATTCCTACATGGCTAAGGGTTCTTCTGTCACATATATTGTATGATTTGAAGCATGACCAGTACCTTTCATTGACCTGGTGCTATGTGCCAGGTTGGGTCCAGGTTGCTGTGTGCACAATCCCTCTTCATCTCTATAACAGATGAGGAGACTGAGTCTCAGGGAGACTACTCTAAGTATTCAAGCCCACACAGTGCTAAGCAAAAGAGTTCAAATTTATCCATAGTCTGAGTTGCAAGGATATGCTCTTAATCTTGTTATATGTGATTTCTGGCCTGTGTACTTCATTCTTTCCTTTAACAACTGATGTCCTAGAATGTTTTGTTCCTCGCCTCCTCCCCCACCTGGAAAGCTCCTACCCACTCACACTGAGCTCATTTGCTGTCTCCTCTCAAGGCCTTCCCCCATCTCTTCCACACCAAATTAATTGCTTCCCTCTCGTGTTGCCATAGCAAGAGTTACTTTGAACGCTCTTTGGCTGTGCAGTATTGGTTTTCCCCACTGGACCGCAGCTCCCAATTTCCCAAAGAGCTGGAACCAATGCTTCTTCATCCTTATGCCTCAGCACCACAAACAGTGCCTAGCTCTTGGTACTCAACACTCATAAATTCTTTCATCATTCAAGAAACCTAAGGAATAAATTATAATTTATTTTCTTCCCTCAGCTCTCCCCTCTTTAATCTTTCCTGCATGAAACTCCACTGGGCATTCTCCTCCTCACCCACCTTTAGTGTCCCTTTGTGTCCTACAAGAGCCTCAGAATAAGCTTCAGGGGCCGCTATGATGCAAACCCCATATACTCTCAGGCCTTACCCACCCACCCACCCCTTCCCAGTTTCTGTCTCCAATGCCCTGTTTGCCTTTGTTCACATTCCCTCTTCTTGGAAATGTCCTCACCCACCCTCACCAATTCTTCTCAAAATATTACTCATTCTTCAGTTCAAACAGTGTCATCTCAGAATAGCCAATCTCACTCCCTGACCAGGAAAACACACTCTTCTCTACATTTTCAGAGGGGTTTTATGCTGTTTGGCTATGGTGACAAGTTTCCTATGTACTATTTTATTCTAGCTCTTTGCATCCATCTAATTAAAAATAATAATAATAATACCATTTTGGGCAGCACTGTGGACTTACTGCTTTCACATTTCTGGTGATATATAGCCATATCATTCACCATATCCAGAAGGCAGTACCTGACAGCTTTCTGATAAGTAGATATTAATGAATGGTTGAATGGAGAATTCTGCCAAGTCATGATTCCCATTATAGCATGGTTGTTTTGCCCACTATTATATGTGGTATTGCATATAAATCTTTCTTGAGTCCTACTTTCTTTATCAAAAAGATAGTCAAAGAGACAAAGAGAAGAAGTAACTAATTTTTATGCAAGACTTGCTATGTTCTGGGCAAGTTATTTGCCTTCTGTGCCTATGAGAAGGAAGATGGAAGTCAGGAGGATGAGGGTGTGGTGTACTAGCAGTGAAAAGCAGAGACTTAGAATAAGGCTTGCTTGAATTCAAGCCTTGGCCCTGCCACTTACTCACTGAGCTTGGGCATGTATGTTAAGTGGTAAGAATAAGGAAATCCACTGAGAGTTTGTTGTAAGGATTAAAAGAGATGCCACTTAGAAGGCACATAATTGGTGCAGAATAAACAGTAGCTCATTATTATGATTCTATTCTCTGTGTGTCATATTGTCTAACTGGTGAAGAAGAGTCTCCAAGAGGTTAAAAAATTTACCCAAGGTTACCCATAATCTTCTGTCTCCACTGTTTCCCTCTCTGTAGACTTGCCAGTGGCAACACAGCCTGTGTTTTCCTAGAAAGGGCTGTGAAATACTAGAAAGCCACCTCCAAGTTGCCACTTCTCAAACATGCCCTGAACGTTTTAGCATCTAAATATTTGGCTACTAACACTGAGTATCCAAAGGCAGCATCAATTTTTTCATGGTGATTCTCCTGTTTAATCGAAGCTATGAGACTACATGGATATATCTTTCTGCTTGAGAAATCTTTTTTTTTCATCACTTTGTTTTTCTTTCTACAAAACCCTAAAATCCCATTACTACGCCAGTATGACCAAATGTGGTATGACCACCCTAATCACGAAGGGGGTCACACCGCAGCTGGGCACTCAGGAGGTGTTTGTTTTTGGAGGGAAGGAGGAGGAGAAGATGGTAAGTTTATTAATAAGGGTTTTCTCTGATGGAGGGTGTGATGGGCAAACACATAAAAGTTTTATGGTGGAGAAAAAGGGTCATTTATAGCAGGACATTACGGAGGGTATGGCCCTTGGAGCTGACGTATTCCTGCCCTGAATGTCCAAAAAGATCTCCCCCAGAGCACGCACAGGTGGGTTTTATTTGTCATGTCCGTGATCTCAAGGCATCAACAGGCCATCAGGGGGCTGCCGCCCGCCGAGCCCTTTTTGCTACAAACACGGCCTGCTAAAGCAGCTCCAATGCAGCTTGATCAAGGGGAGAGAAATGCCAATCTAACCCATTTGCTGTTGATTTCTTAAGCAGATTCAGGCACACAGGATGAAGCACAGCTTTTGCAGGAATGGTTTAAGTTGGTTCTGGAGAAGAATAAATTAATGCGCTATGAGTCGGAGCTACTGATCATGTAAGTAAAGCAACACAGATAACAATGAGTCCTAAAAGCAAAAGGGGGCGGCTCTGCCTCCTAGGTTGAAGTCCCAGAATTTTTTCTCCTTGTGCATACAGAATTGTGATTGAGGTAAATTGATATTTGATGTCTTGCATATCATGCTGGCATTAGTGCAGCGAAGCTTCAGTTGTCTGTTTTCTCTGTGGAGTCCTGTGGCTAAAATAGATTTCATGGAATGGGGCTTGAGCTGGAAGGCGTTCAGATTAGTTATTGCCAATTCATCCCTGTCCCCCAGACCGGGGCGACCCACCTACAGTCACACACCTGCAATGGGGAAGCACGTGACAGAGTTCTGAGCGTGGCTCTTGGGAAGGGCTTGGTGATTTGCCTGCAGGCTGAAGGGCTGAGCTCTGTCTGACTGTCTTCTTGGAATGAGAGGTTGCCGCCTGGTTGGGTTATCAAGAAGCAGACCTGATCTCAGCACACTCTGGGAGAGTGGAGGAGGTCACTATACCTGTCACCATTCTGGAAAGCATAAACCCACCAAGTGCCACAAATCCTACTGGGTACTTTGGCTCATGTTGTCCTTGTCCATTTTCACCCCAACCCTGAGAGGTCATTTGGGGAGTCTTTGGGTCTAATAAATTCTCTTCTTCTCGGCCTGGGGTCTGCCTTATTTCTGGGAAATGAGATAACCAAGTAAATAGCAGGAACATAAAAATATCACCTTTATCACTGATAATGACTAGCGTGGTTGAGGATGTGAGCCCAAGTGGACTTGCTAATTGTTTCCTAGAGCAGGAGCGGCTTATTTTCAGCAACAGCTATTTACTGTCTCCAGTTCTGGAAGACAGAAGTCTTCCAGAATCAAGGTGTCAAGAGGGTGATGTGTCCTCTGGAGGCTCCAGGGGAGAGTCCTTTCTGCTTCCTCCAGCTTCTGGTGGCTCTGGGCCTCCCGTGCCTGGAGGCTGCGGCATGCTTTGTCTCTGCCTTCACAGCTTTCTCTCTCTCTCTGAGTTCTCTTCTTTTGTGTCTTATAAGCACACTTGTCATGGGGTTTGGGGCCCTCTAGGATAATCCAGAATGTTTTCATCTCAAGGTCTTTAATTATATCTACAAAGATTCTTTTTCAAATAAAAGCCCATGGGTTAGTGCATAGACAAAACTTTCTTGGGTTGAGAGTTCAGCATTCAGCCTGCATTACCCCAGTTCCAGAACTAGACATTCTTGCCTGCCTAATCAAAGGATAGTAGACCCACTTGCTTCTTAGGGATGAAGTTTTTACCCTCAACTAGTGGGTCTCAGCTGAGGGTATTTTTACCTCCACAGGGATGTTCAGTAATGGCTGGAGACATTTTTGCTGTAACAGCTGGGAGGTGCTACTTGTGAGGCCAAGGGTCCTACCGAGCATTCTACAGGACACAGAACATTCTCCCGCCCCCTGTACAGAGGAGTGTCCAGTCTAAGCTGTCAGTAGGAATCAGGATGAGAGATCTTGCTCTAGTAGACAGGACAAGGCTCACAGTTAGGGAGAGCACATATTTGCTGCAGGCAAGCTATTGCCAGGAAAGGAAAGGTATGAAGTGAGCTCACCTCGTCACTTCTTCCCAAAAGCCCCCTCCCCCAGGGGGTGGTCATGAATAAAGAGGAAAACTGGAGGAGGAAGCCAAACCTTATGCTCAACTCCATGGACACAAAAGGAAGGGGTCATCTGTAGTATATATATTCATCTATCACTATTTTTTAAGTTGATACACAAATGGAGACTTGGAGCAACTAAGTCATTTTCCCATCTACCTGACAAAAAGGTCCTTTTAACACAACCCTACTGTCTGCTTTAGACCAGGTCTACATTATAAAGTTCATTCAACAAAATTATCAGAAGCAGATTCTTTGTGCTAGAGCTGAGTCCTGTAGAAATAAAGATGAATAAACCCTTAGCGCCATCTCAGTCTCATGGTTTTCAGGAGAGACACACATGACATAGAGCTGGATGTAGCATGACGGCATAAGGAAACGTGGAGGCGCAGAACTGGGAAGCTTACCTGAGTTTACCTTCTGCTCAGTGACTGTGGCCCCCTGGTTGTGCCCCTCAGAGCAAGCTTTCTCTTCCAAAAGAGCCAAAGAGGAGAGCTGGGTCCTAGACGGTAGACATAGACAGTTAGATGCTCTGCTAAAGGATAGATTTTAGATTGGCAAAATGGTGAAGGAGACGTGTCTTAGATTGGTATGTCAATTCAGGCCCTTTGGGAAGCAGATACCAAGACAGAATTAGAAGTACAAGGGATTTTGGGTGGGAAACTCGTGGGAAGGGTGCAGGGGAAGGGGAGGACTAAGAGCTAAGGCTTCAGCACCACAGCTTTTCTGATACCTGTGGAAGGACACTGGAGCAAGGGGGATTCTCAGGAGGAACCTGAAACTGCGGTTAAGCCTGAGAAAGTCTCAGCCAGGCCACAGGGGGCACTGAGGCACTGATGGCCTGCAGAGTTCAAAGCTGGGCAAGAAGGGCCTCCCTGAGACTTACGCCACTGTGTTCAGTCATCGGTGGGTCTGCCAGGAAACAGCCTGGCTTTAGCATGACATTGAGATGGATTCTGCAAAGTGGTCAGCTCCAGACACTCTTCCCAGAATGTTCTCCTTAAAGAGGCAGGGCACCTTCATTGGCTACCACAGCAGGCCAGCAGAAGTCCAGTGTCAACAAGAAAAAGCAGATATTAAGCAAGGCAGAAGCCTCGACGCAAGCAGTAGTAGAAGCATAAAAATGCAGACAGCAACAACAGGATATAGGACCTCAACACATATAGACCCCAGGGTGGGGAGCTGGAAAGGAAGGCCCTACTATTTCGAATCCAGATTCTCAGTCCTCATCTTCTTTAATGTCTTTGCAGAGTAAACATGCATGACTGCTCAAAACTTCCCTTTATTTTTGGTTCCTGTGACATTGCATTTCTTGTTCTGTCCTTCCAAACGTTAGATTGTTTTCTCCCTGACTCCAGGGACCCTGCCGACAGCATCTCCTTCTGCTTAGAGATACTTCAAGATGTCATTATTGATAAGGAAAAAAGAATGTAGTAACTACTATCAAGGAAGCTGTTCACCCTTATGTCTACACAAATCTTCTACTTACAAAATTTGAACATCTTCTCATCCCCAGGGCCCAAGAACTAGAACTAGAAGATCATCAAAGCCGACTGGAACAGAAATTAAGAGAGAAAATGCTCAAGGAGGGTGAGTATAATGATGTATTTTGGGCCCTTGTTAAAGACATTTTTCCACAGAAAGACTCTTGAGCAGAAGATGCTGAAATGGGAGCATGGCGTGGTCTCCTTGCCTCACGCAACCAGACTGGCAGTCAGAGTGTAGAGCCAGCCTGCCTGTGCCCACCTCCAGCACAGCAAGGCCCCAGCTATCTTCCTCTCCTGGTAATGAGAGCAGTGTTCTGCATCCCAAGTGCAAAAAGTAATAAATTCATTTCTTCACATATCCATTCACTTAGCCATTCATTTTACAAATCTCTGCTGAGAATCTCACATGGACAGGTATATAGGAAAAAACACCCCTCCTGCACAATCTTATGGGCAGCACAATACTTAGACCAGTTAGAGTACTGGTAGACCAGGGCATGCGACTTTGGGAGCTCGGGAAAGCATGCCTACTTCTACCAGGCACTAGGGATGGTCCAAGAATCATTCCTTCCGGACATGGGCTAGACTGGAGCAACACGTTATTCCCACCACGTAGTAGAAATAGACTCAACTGACACCAGATACTGATCTACACATTCTTTGACTCCTGATTGCGAGGCACATGCACTGTTCCGTTTTTGCATGTTTGCAGAACCAGGCGGCCCTTCCTACATGTAGATCCAGATCTGAAAGAACCAGTGAAATCATTTCTTTAAACCTCATGAGCCAACGTTGCACCTACCTGTGTGGTTCCCTGATAGAGACCACACATTTGGCAAATCTAACACATCAACATTGTGAACGCTGTTCCTTAGCTTAACTTATTGAACAGACTAGGAAACTGGGTCTCAGAGAACTTTAAAAGTATGTTCAAGGAAATGCAAGGCCTGACATAGTAACCACTCTCGAAGGCCCCAGGCTCCCCTGTTCTTTTCCATATAGTGGTGATTTATAAAATGTTTCCTTGTAGCAATAAAATTCTCTTTCTGACAAAATCTTCAAGAGCTGCAAAGGAAAAATAACAGTGCTATATATATATTTTTTTGATTTGTAGAAAGGGGCTCAGATGGGTCTATTGATGACAAAATGACATTGAGAGAGTTATTTTTCTACATGGGTTATAAACAAGGATTCTAATTTATATTGATAATGGAAATTAAATGAACAAACCATAGTGTATAACTAATGTCAGATTTATACATCTGACAAATCATTTAATAATAAAATGTCTTTTTCAGAATGGTGGAATAAATACCCCAAAGACTGTCAGTCAACTTTGAATTTTCTTTTAGTTCTTGTTAAGAGCAAAGGTCATACATTTTATCACCCCTCTCAAGGGTACTTGGGGGAAAAATTAAATTTTTCATTTTAAGTTTGTCTTCCACAAAAACTTCATCCTACTAGTTAGTAGGCAAAAGAATAAACTATCCCTCTCTGGTAAACTTAGTCTGATGCAATCATTTAAACAGTCCCTGCAGGAAATGCTCAGTCTCTTCAGGATGTAAATGTTCAATCTTGCAAATGGCCTCCCTTCCTTCTGCCTTTTCTCCTGAGCTAGCTGCCAGGTAATGGGGAGAGGCAGACTTATGTCACCCAGAGGTGACATTAGGAATCTGGATTGCTTTGACTCATTGTGTAGGATCATTGTCACCATCATCACCACCAACATCCTCATCTGACCCCTGCTGGCAGAAACCACAGCCTGGCCATTTTCTCCCAAGCGTGGAGCACAGTGAAATTCCTGGCTCACTAGGTCTCACCTAGCACATCCTCCATTCTGCTTAGCCACATAGCATACCAGGCAGTATCCACTGTGGGGCCACTTCACACCTCATGGTAGGAGAGCCCCTGGCGAGCCCTTTGACAGCTCTGGGACAGGTGGACAGCTTAGAGACAGGCCATGGCCATGGCACACACAGAGGATCAGAATCGGGGGCCACGCTCAGATCATCTTAGCCCAACCATGAAATGCTTCCCTTTAGCTGGCTTTCCGCCGGAAGCAGAGTCAGAGTCCTTGGGCCCGAGTGTTCCCATCAAATGATAGGGCATTTCTTGCCTTCTTGGGAGCTCCATGACCCAGAATGGAGTGACCAGAGCTTAGAACCCTCTGCTTCTCTTGCCTCTTTCCTCTCACTCCCGTAAAACACAAGGCGCAAAGGGAATGGGTTGGCTTCAAGGCTCTCTTGCTTCTCAGTCCACCGTCCTGTCTGCATCCGCAGAACTGAGCCTGATGTGAGAGATGGTGGTATCTTTTCTGCCGCAGGATCAGCTCGCTGCTTAGCCCCCGTGTGCTAACTGGAATTTAAAATTTAAAAAGGGGAAATTTAGAAAGCTCTCTCTTAAGTGTATAACCTGGTTGACAAGACTTCAATCTATCTTTAAAATCCTACTCAGAGTGTCAGGAAGCCCTGACTACCTGTTTCTTACTTTTCACCTTCCTTGAACAGTCTTACCTCCACCAGGCAATCAGATGCCTGGAGTCAGTTAGGAACAAGTTCCTGAAAGGCAGCAAGAAAATCTAGTCACGGGCTCCTGTTGACCAGTCATAGCCTTGGAGCTTCTGCCTAGTCTCTAGTCAAAGGGCTGCAATTTATCCTTAGCCACGGATAAAGAAAGGGTCCTCACTGTGGACATAACTAGTCACTGCTGCCGATGGTCTGCTTCAAAACCTGTCTCACAGATTTCTTTGCTTTAGTTTCGATATTTTTTTTTGAGAAATAGCTTTTGTGTGTGCGTTGTTGGTTTCTTTTTGGCAGGGAGGGGAGGTTGGGACTTGGTATGAATGAACTTCTTGTCTCACAAAGGGGTTTTCCCATCACTGTTCAAATATTCTCAAGATGAAACCTGAGCTGACAGTTGCACAAAGCACCCACCTTCTACCTGTGCCTTTGAGGGTGGTCACCCTGTGTTAAATTCATTTCCTTGTTCTCACCATGGAATTTAAAGGGCAGAGCAACTCCAGAACAATTCAGGATACCCATGCCAGGAGTTCTCTTGGGGCCGCCTCTTACCTGAGGGTCAATGTTTCTCTGTCTTCTTTTTAGAGAGCCAAAAAGATGAGAATGATCTAAATGAGGAACAAGAAATATTCTCCAAGATGATGCAAGTGATTGAGCAAAGGGACAAACTCGTAGATTCTTTGGAGGAACAACGCATCAAAGAAAAGGCTGAAGACCAGCACTTTGAAAGCTTCATATTCTCCAGGGGCTGCAGGCTGAGCAGGACCTGAGCTGTGCAGGGGCCTCCGTGGTAGTCATCTGGGGAGCCCCTGGGTCAAGTGTCCCTCCACACTTCTCCTTTTGCAGGATTTTTCATATCTGGAATTTAAGCTATTCTATACTCTAGTGTTTTTTACAAAATTAAAATTGTCTCATAGGTTCCAAGATCTTGCCAGAATTTCTAAAGAAAATGCAAAGACTTTTGGAATCAGCAGGTAACAACGCAGGTTTCTGAGACTGGAGGTGACCTGGACAGATAACCAACATCGGTTTCCCTAGAAAGTGACTCTCCTGCTGCTTTAGCATTTATCTTCCCAATTCATTGAGTTACACATCTTAAGATTTTTAAGAACCTGACTTTTTATTAATATAGCCATATTTGCTTTTTTTGCATGGATGACCAGTTTCCAAATGTCAGAAAGAAGCAGCCGCAGTTTAAAGATTAGGTTAATATTTAAATGGTGTTTACTGACAAAGAGGAGAAACCTTGAGATTACTGATTACATAAAGCAAATAATTCAAATAGCAGGTGTTAATTCAATCCAGGATGAATTTAATTTACCAGGTGTATGTTTAAGCCTTAATATAATATGCAGAAGCAATGAGAGTTTAATAGAACATTTGAGCCTTAATTATATTTTTTAAAGAAGAGAAGAAAGAAGGACCTTAACTTCTTACCAGCAGGATGGTTAATTTTCACCCAAAACTGTTGGCTTCAAAAAGCTTTTTGTTCTCGGAGCCCTCTCCCTATGGCTTCTGGAACATAATGGGAATGGTTTTAAGAAAATAATTTTGAAGTGCTTTTATGGAACTGTTGGTCATGGCAAAAAGAGAAACTCTTTTATTTGTTGATAAAATATTGGTGAGGTTGGTGCTGCTGCTAGAAATGAACACACTGTATAATACTGTGAGGAAGGCTACCCCAGGCTGCTCACCTTGGGTCTAAACAGAACTTTCTCTGACACTCAATTAAGGGGTCCCAGGGATTCTATGGGACAAGGACAAAACCAGCTCTGATGTCAAGATAGAGCTGAGTGCTATCACTCCATTAGCAAACCCTGCATATTTGAGGTCATGTTCTATGTGGAAGAAAGCTCGAAGATGGAACCCCTGCACTGACATGGAACCCCTGGGATGTTTTTACAGTTCTTATGGGAAATCAGAGGAAAAGATGTTCTATGGTGATCTCTTATCATAAAGTATTTGCTTCCCCTCAACTGGTTTCTTTGACGATTCAGTCAGTTTTTGACAAGGAGACTGAAGAATACTTTGTTAAGTATTTGACTGCTCTTGTTTCTACAAGTGTTCAATGTGTCACTAAACGAAAGCTGCTTTGCAAAAGTCGGCTCTGACTAGATACCGAAGTTTAGCCGACTGAAAGGCCAGAAATTAGAAGTGTAAGTGTAACTGGATTTCCAGTCAGCCAGCCTGTGGGGGTCATATCCACAGGCCTCCTTTCCAAGGTGTACCCAGTTCACAAGATTGTAGTTCTTTCTCCTTTTGCATTCTTTTTTTGTCTTTTTTAAGAATCAGGTCTTCTGATGCCTGAATTCTATTGTTAGGAAATGCATGCAGGCATCTATCGATTGATCGGTCTATGAAAACTGTTCTACTTACAGCTATTTAACTATTTTTTTATTTATTTGTATTTTTGGTAGAAATTGCTAACATGATTTCCTTATAATTCTGGCTTCCCTGTGTTATAATTCGGAGAAGACCTAGTAACATTAAAACATTGGTATATAAGCTATTTAATATACAAATAACCCAGATGTTTGGTGTTATATAGTATTAAAGATTTATGTTGATAGAATAATATTTTCAACCATCAGGAGTGTTAACCCTTTTTAAGAAAAAGTTCTCTAACTTCGATTTTCATTCTAGGATATGTACAAATATTCAAATTTAATCTTTTTTGTCATATAAAAATACATTATTTGATATTTGCGTACATTTAACAGAAAAAGCCCAAGTGTATTGTGTCTGAGTTGTTTTGTGCAAAAGAATTAATTGCCACTTATTTTAATGTGTTCTTTCCATCGAAAATAAAGATTCTCCCAAGAGGATCAAGAAAGAGGATGGTTCTTGGCCCTAGTATTCTGTTAATAGACAAAAAAGCAATTTGTTCACTTTCTCTTCCAAAGACTATGTTCTGTGGCTTAAAGCTGAGTCTTCTTTAACCAAGGTAAAACAAACTTCATATTTAAGTCTTCTGCTTATATTGGCTTTCAGTTTTACCAGCACATAAAACTATTCCCATGATCATTTCTAAAATTAGACCATAAATATTGTATCTATTGAACTATTTAAATGAATCTATTCCTTCTTCACATTCATCTATGAGAAACTCAAAATGTAAAATGTTGTACATTTTGAAGGTAGCCTTTTGCATGCAGAATGAGTAGGCTTATGATTCAAACAGACTGATGCTTTATGGACCATAAAAGGACACTTGTGATCAACAGTGAAAAATTTAGGTATTTGGGACAGAGAGCCGTAGCCTCGGATCATTTCTCCCAGTTAATCCCACACAAAGTCTTAAGTTAAACCAAGGAGCTCATAATAGTTATAAATTCAGAATTTTACGGGAGTAATATTACGAGAAATGTCTTAAACATATTCTCCCAAACCATTCACGTGTTGACTGTTTAGCAAGCAGTTCTGAATGCCAAGGGGTTTCTGCACGCCTGAGCTAGGTGCTGAGATGCAGATAGAATATTTGTCCTCTACTCCTCCCACAAATACAAAGATAAACATGTACCACTTCCAAATAGATACAAAGTTAAAATACTACTTTATTATACTCATCAGCCTACTCTACTCACATTTTTGTCAAACATAAAGCCTTCCATCCCCCACAATTGTGGTGCTTCTCAAGCAATAAAAATAAGTCTGTGTTTCTAAAACTGTGAAAAATAATATCAGGTTGTACTGTTTCATTTAAACCTTGGCTCGGCAATGCTAGGCTGCTTGGAATCAATCAATGCTGAGATGCAGCATGTTAATTACAGCTGAGAAAGGAAGTGGCAGGTGTTTCCAACTCTGATGAGCTGCAATGAAATTGATGTTTTCTGGGTTCTGGAGGCAAATGACAATTCAGCAATGTCTGTCTTCCCAGGAAGCAGATTTACAGGTTTTTCCTTCCAAACTGAAAATGGCAGCCTGTCCCACCCAGGTGGTTGATCAGAGAACTGCCTCAGCAGGGCAGAGGTGGCAGGGGGCAGCTTGGGCTGCCACCGTGATGGAGAGAGTGGCAGGCGTGGGACGCGGGGAGCTCAAATGTAGGAGTTTATCGTAATAAGAAGGTTCACGCACAGGAGAGCGTGTGCTATTTCACCTGTTTATCTTCTAACCTCACTGCTGAGTGGCTTGTAAAAGATTAATTTGCTCCAACAATTGGGAACTATTCATACAGATTGAAATGTGTTACATGTGCATGGCTATAAATACTAAAATGACCCCAAAATAAATGGTTTTGTGTCAAAAGAATCAAAACATTTTCATATGGGCTTGGCCTGGCACCTCTGAGAGCAGCGTCCATTTCATTTATTTCTTTTCAGCCAAAGGACCTGAGCAAAGCTTGGATTTCATGTGAGAGTCTGTGAGTGAACGTTGGTGGCTTTAGTCCTGCTGCAGCACCTGGAAGGACTTACCTGACCAGCAAACTGGATTCGAATGGGAGGAGTGAACACTCACCTCAGGTGTATTCTCTCAACAAAGAAAGCTATTCTCAAGGCAGGGGGAGGGGGAGGCCCGGGGCCTAGCCTCATTTCAACTCCCTTCTCTTTCCCTCTTACCTGGGACAACCTGTCTTTAGATTTCACACACACAGCAGGAACCTCCCCATCCCTTTTCTGACTAGAGCTGGCCTCTTCCTTCAATTTCCACTCCTAAGACCTGCTCTGCTGTTCTTTTTTTTTAAGATTTATTTATTTAAGCATGCAAGAACTGAGATACAGACTAGAGGTGTGTGGGGCGGGGGAGGGGTGTAAGTGGTGAGAGGATTCACCAGACAGAGTAGGGGCAGAACAGGCAGATTGAAACACACTCCTGAGGGGAGCAGTGTGAGGTCTGCTGCGCCATGTGGGTCACCTCCCTGGCGGGGGATGGATTCCTGCTGCAGTGGCCGTGGACAGCTTCATAGTGCTGTGCCTTAACGTAGTGTGCCACCAAGAAGGGCCCTGGTTCTTAAGGCCAGCACATGAGCCTTTGTGAAATGAGGCACAGAAGCCAGAATTGCCGCAGCATATTAATACAATGGTCAGCCCCTGCCTTCCCGAGTTTTCTCCATTGTTTAGAGTTTTATCTGCTGGTGGAATATTTGAAGTGATCCCTTTTTCCATTAAATATTAACTGGAAATGCAGGCCCTCCCTAGTGGCTTAGTGGGTTAAAGCACAGCACTAAAAAGCTAAAGCCACTTCAGCATGAGTTCCATCCCTGCCCTGGAGGTGACCCACATGCCATGGCAGACCTCTCCTGACCCGCCTGCTGCTCCCCTCAGCGGTGTACTTCGTCAATCTGCCTGTTCTGCTCCCCTCTTTGTCTCTGGTAAATCCTCTCACAGCCCCTGACCCTCTGGCCTGTACCCCAGTTCTGTATGCACAAATAAATAAATCTTAAAAAAAACATATCAACTGGAAACTGCAGTGGAGAGCCATTTGTGGACAGAGGGTGGCCTTTTTCTGGTGCTGTGGGCTTGCTCTTTCAGAAGCAGCTTCTGGGCTCCTCTGACCTGCTCACACAGACTTTAGTGGCTATAACTCACCATCCCTCAGCCTTGAGGACACGCTTGACGATTTCACACCACCCTCTCTCCCAGCCCATTTCTAGAAATTAAACAACAAAGAACAAACCCTAAAGCTGTCCCAGCCCTCCTCAGAGAAGGTCTCTCCCTGAAGATGGTATGGATACTGTGAATTCATTTCACCTCCCCTGCCAGGCTGGAATCTGTTGTTTGTGAGTTCCTCCACCTCATCCTGAAAGCAAATCCTCAAGGTGAACGTGACCCCA